GTTAGTCGCCATTTTGGGTGTTCTGTTGATACTATCTCACGCCCTCACCAGTAACACTCACGCCCCTCACCAGTAACACCTCACGCCTCACCAGCAACACCTCACGCCTCACCAGTAACACCTCACGCCCTCACCACAGTAACACCTCACGCCTCACCAGTAACACCTCACGCCTCACCAGTAACACTCACGCCCTCACTAGTAACACCCCACGCCCGCCCAGTAACACCTCACGCTCTCACTCAGTAACACCTCACGCCCTCACCAGTAACACCTCACGCCTCACCAGTAACACCTCCTCACGCCCTCACAGTAACTTCACGCCCTCACCAGTGCAACACCTCACGCCCGTACCAGTAACACCTCACGCCCGTACCCAGTAACACCTCACGCCCTCACCAGTAACACCTCACGCCGTACCAGTAACACCACGCCCTCACCAGTAACACCTCACGCCTCACCAGTAACACCACGCCCTCACCAGTAACACCACGCCGTACCAGTAACACCCCACGCCCTCACCAGTAACACCTCACGCCCTCACCAGTAACACCTCACGCCCTCACCAGTAACACCCCACGCCCGTACCAGTAACACCCCACGCCCTCACCAGTAACACCTCACGCCCTCACCAGTAACACCTCACGCCCATGCCAGTAACACCTCACGCCCACAACCTCTAACACCTCAGTCCCGCAACAATAAAATTATGCAAAAACTCGTTTGGCCTTCCTGTGTGAGGACCGTTTGCGTGTGTGTGTGTGTGTGTGCTTATGCCATACACACAAACAATCATCCAGCCATTTACACAGATAGACAGCCAAGTAAACAGCCAGACAGGTAGACAACCAGCCATGTACCCAGCCATTCAGACAGCATGGCGGCGGGTAATATGCCTAGGGTGACCCACTAACTCCTTCAGCCGAGTCTGTGTTACACCCTGGAGGAGGATAAGGAAGAAGATGTAATTAGATGAATAAGATGAGGAGGAAGAAGAACAAGGAGGAAGAGGAAGAACAAGAAGGAGGAGGAAGAACAAGGAGGAGGAGGAAGAACAAGGAGGAGGAGGAGGAAGACGATCAAGGAGGAAGAGGAAGAACAAGAAGGGAGAGGAAGAACAAGGAGGAGGAGGAAGAACAAGGAGGAGGAAGAACAAGGAGGAGGAGGAAGAACAAGGAGGAGGAAGAACAAGGAGGAGGAGGGAAGAATAAGGAGAGGAGGAAGAACAAGGAGGAGGAGGAGGAAGACGATCAAGGAGTTGGAAGATGAGGAAGAAAAAGAAAGGCGGGAGGAGAGGAGGGAGGGGACAGACACGCATTAGAGAGACAACAGACAGACAGGCATACTGGAAGAGTTACCTGAAGGGGGGCAGAGGAGGAGGGGGGGTAGGGAGGAGGAGGTAGAGGAGGTGGGGTAGGAGGAGGAGGGGGGTAGGAGGAGGGGAGGGGAGGGGGAGGGAGGGAGAGGGGGAGGAGGGGAGAGGAGAGGAGGGGAGAGTGGGGAGGAGGAGAGTGGGGGAGGAGGGAGAGTGGGGGAGGAGGAGAGTGGGGGGAGGAGGGAGAGTGGGGGGAGAGGAGAGGGAGAGAAGGAGGCAACATCTTGTCCTTGGCCTGAATGGAGCTCCCCCTCCCTCTTCCCCCTTAAGTAGGAAGGTGGGGGAGGCCGGGGGTAGTGAGATGGAGGAGGTATTCTGGTGGGAGAGGTCAGGGGGGCGTTTCTCATAACACGGTCCCTCATACTACGGACACCTCATTCAACGGAACCTCAAAGAATTGGGAGGTATTTGAGTGTTCTTATGTTATATTCAATACTATGATTACTAAACCAGGTGTAAATACGGTCGTTAAGGATTTGTTGATTACGTACACAATAAAACGCATTTGTATGGCCAGAACTACGGACGGGACGGACGGATCCTAAGATAATTACACCAGGGACTTAAGAATTCTTAAAACGCCTCTGGCCAGTGTACCATCGCCCGGTGTTGTGTAGTGAGGCACACACACACCTAAGCTGACCCAGGTGTTTCATTGGTGACAGGTGTGTGGCACTCATCTGTGTGTGTGTGTGTGTGTGTATGACGGGGTAAGAATCCGTGTGGTCGGAGTAGTAGAGCCGCCACTCGTGCCAGACAGCGTGGCGACGCACCTCTCTCACACAAGAGAGAACACGAGCTAAGGCACAACTTGACACTCACGTCATCTGGCACTGTGTGGTGGTGTCAAGGGTGAGCCTTAAACATGTAGGTGGAGGAGGAGGGGTGTGGAGGAGCCTACGTGCAGCATTAAGTGTGGGTAAGGTAGCTGATGAGAGAGAGAGAGAGAGAGAGAGAGAGAGAGAGAGAGAGAGAGAGAGAGAGAGAGAGGAAATAAGGCCAGGGTTAGCCACATGATACCTGTCTCACCTGTGGTATTAGAGGTGGTAGGCTGAACCTCCACCTGGGCGTGTAGGTGAGGCAGTCTAAACCGTGCCGTGCCCTGCCCTCCCTCCTCCAAGTTGAAAATATACACAGGACAAAAACTGACTTAGTGTGTGTGTGTGTGTGTGTGTGTGTGTGTGTGTTTAAATGTCTTCTTGGTACGCACACATTCATTTATAAGTCTTCTTGGAACACACACACACACACACACACACACACACACACACACACACACACACAGAAAACGACAACCTCAGTTAATAAAGAAAAACGGGGAGGTGAGTGAGCCAGAGCCACGTGACCAAACACACCTGGAAGAGACCAGTAATTAAGAGCCACACCCGGTGTATCACAGGTACATTACGCCTCACAGCATGAGCTGGTATAACTCGTGGTATATTGAGTATATTTAATATACCCTTTGTTATATTACAGGTGTTCCATTAACCATTACTGACATGGGGAATATGCTGGGTGCGTGTAATATACTCTCGTTAATTGGCAGGTAATAATGTGCTTTAAATAATCTTCTATTGTGAATAAATAAGACTATTGGTGATTTGTTAAGGAGGGAGAGAGGGAGGGAGGGAGGGAGGGAGGAGGGAGGAGGGAGGAGGGAGGGAGGGAGGGAGGGAGGGAGGGAGGGAGGAGGAGGAGGGAGGGAGGGAGGGAGAGAAGGAGGGAGGGAGGGGGAGGGAGGGAGGGAGGGGGAATGGAGGGAGGGAGGAGGGAGGGAACAGGTCAGGAGACGGGGAACAACATGTGACGTATCAGGTGCTGGCAGGTGTCTGTTGCCCCACGTTAATATATATCCTCCTCTTCATTAACACATGCCTCCCAACCACTGTGTGTGTGACTCTCTCCCCATGTACGTTTGGCCTTACCGGCCTTCATCATGCCCACCTAACACTACCACTGATTCTAACAGGTGGTGGGGTGAAGGTCTGCCTAGCGTGACCTGACGGTACATAGTGAGCATCAGCTTACATTATGTGCCCCACCACCTCACCCAGCCCACCCCTCACCCAACCCCACCCTCCACCACCCTCATCCAACCCACCCTCCACCACCACACACACACACTCACCACCCCACCACCTCACCCAACCCCGCCCCCTCACCCAACCCACCTCCCACCACACACACACACACACTCACCCCCACCACCCTCACCCAACCCACCCTCCACACACACACACACACACACTCACCCCCACCACCTCTCCTTAGCCCACCTCCACCACACACACACACACTCACCCCACCACCCTCACCCAACCCACCCTCCACCACACACACCCAACCCACCCTCCACCACACACACCCAACCCACCCTCCACCACACATACACCCACCCTCCACCAGCATTAAGTCGTCCTTGACCTCAAGCCTCCTCTCACCACTGCATGGCTCAAGGACCACCACACCCCTTCCTCCTACCTCACTCTCGAGTTATAGTCACTTAACCATTCACCTATAGCACTCTCCTATGGCACTCACCTATGGCACCCACCTATGGTACCCACCTAGCACTCTCCTATGGCACTCTCCTATGGCACCCACCTATGGCACCCACCCAATGGACCACTAAGTAGGGCTAAATGGGGGAATGACAAGGATGTAGGGGGGTGAGGGGATGAGACAGGTGGGGGTGAATAAGGACAAGTGTGTCTGGCCAGTACAGGTGTGTGGGTGACCAGAGCCAGGTGTATGTGTTGGGGGAGGGGGTGAGGTGTGGGTGGTGATTCCAGGTGTAGGTGGGGGTGAGGACAGACCAGGTAACACAGGTAACCTTACCCTGACGTGACCTATTAACGCTACACAACAGTTCCTCAACTCCACTATTTAACATCATACTTAAGTCCACATATCTCCCCCACAAAACCTTCCCCCATACTACATATTTTAACGTGTGTGTGTGTATGTAGGAGGGAGATTAGGTCATACAGAGGGTCTAAGGAAGGGGAGAAAGGATGTGTGTATATATACTTGAGAACGCAGCAACACACACCTAACATTCACACTAACAGGATGTGAACAAAGAGGTGCTGACACAACCCCCCCCTCACAGGTTATCCACTTACTCCTACACGTGGGAATATTTTTAGTGACAAAGCTGTTACAGTAATATTTATATTGTACTGTACACGTCACTGTTACACTGTACTGCGGATCACACTATATGTACACGTCACTGTTCATGTACTACACTGTAATGTACCCATAGCTGTACACTGTTACATTGTGTTACACAGTAAACCTCGTCACTGACAGTCTACCTGCGACAGTCAGCCCTATACTTGCCAATCTTGTCAAACAGTCAGACAGAAAGAACCGTCCAGTCTTAGTTGACTTACTGGCAATATGACGGAGTAACCTGACGGAGCTCAAGAGGAAACAGTCTTGTCCTTTAAGCTGTCACCTTCTGTACACCCATCCTGACAAACAACTGTATATAACTGACGCCATAACTGATTTATTAACTGACTGACGCCATAACTGATTTATTAACTGACTCCATAACTGATTTATTAACTGACTGACTGATAGAGTAAAATACAATAAGGGTGTTAGTACTCACCATGGCTTGTTCAATCTTGTTATCAATGGCGACAGTGCTGGCCGTAGAGGCGCTGTAAGACAAACAAACATGAATTAACATCACACATAAAACACAATCACAACTTATTAAAACACAATCACAACTTATTAAAACACAATCACAACTTATTAAAACACAATCACAACTTATTAAACACAATCACAACTTATTAAAACACAATCACAACTTATTAAAACACAATCACAACTTATTAAACACAATCACAACTTATTAAACACAATACAGCTTATTAAAACACAATCACAACTTATTAAAACTTACAATCACAACTTATTAAAAACACAATCACAACTTATTAAAACACAATCACAACTTATTAAAACACAATCACAACGGCCAAAACACAATCACAACTTATTAAAACACACAATCACAACGCTAGAAAACTACAATCACAACTTATTAAAACCTGAAAATCACAACTTATTAAAACACAATCACAACTTATTAAACACAATCACAACTTATTAAGCACAATCACAACAGTAAACACAATCACAACTTATTAAAACACAATCACAACTTATTAAACACAATCACAACTTATTAAACACAATCACAACTTATTACACACAATCACAACTTATTAAACTTATTCACAGCTTATTAAAACACAATCACAACTTATTAAAACACAATCACAACTTATTAAAACACAATCACAACTTATTAAAACACAATCACAACTTATTAAAACACAATCACAACTTATTAAACACAATCACAACTTATTAAACACAATCACAACTTATTAAAACACAATCACAACTTATTAAACACAATCACAACTTATTAAACACAATCACAACTTATTAAAACACAATCACAACTTATTAAACACAATCACAACTTATTAAACACAATCACAACTTATAAATCTTTGTATATTTAAGTGACTGTAAATATAAGTAGGTAATGTAACCGTGAAATATGTTGACGCCTTTGATTATTGTACAATATTACCTGAACACTTTGGGTCGTATATATTTCAGGGTTGTATAGATAAAGAAGGTTGTGATTATAACATCTGTGTAAATATCTACAGCCACGTTAACACAGGAAGGATAAAACGTACATGAACTATTTGTGGCTTATACCGACACACACACACACTTCCGGTTAGTGATATGATACTGGTGGAACAAGGCTAAGCTGATGTTAGCTGACTTACCACCACCAGTGTTACCACCACCACCACTGTTACTACCACCACTGTTACTACCACTACCACCACTGTCACTCCCACTAGCACCACTGTTACTACCACTACCACCACTGCCACTACCACCACTGTTACTACCACTACCACCACTGTCACTACCACCACTGTTACTACCACTACCACCACTGTCACTCCCACTAGCACCACTGTTACTGCCACTACCACCACTGTTACTACCACTACCACCACTGTCCCCACCAGCACCACTGCCACTGCCACCACCACCACTGTTACTACCACTACCACCACTGTCATCCCACTAGCACCACTGCCACCACCACCACTGTTACCACCACTACCACCACTGTTACTACCACTACCACCACCAGTCATCCCCACTAGCACCACTGTTACTACCACTACCACCACTGTCACCCCACTAGCACCACTGCCACTACCACCACTGTTACCACTACCACTACCACCACTGTTACTACCACTACCACCACTGTCACTTCCACTCAGCACCACTGCCACTGTCACTACCACCACTGTTACTACTACCACCACCACTGTCACTCCCACCAGCACCACTGCCACCTACCACCACTGCTACCACCACTACCACCACTGTCAACCACCAGCACCACTGCCACTACCACCACTGTTACCACCACCACCACCACTGTTACTCCACCCACTACCACCACTGTCACCCCACCAGCACCACTGCCACCTACCACCACTGTTACTACCACCACCACCACTGTCACCCCACTAGCACCACTGCCATACCACCACTGTTACTACCACTACCACCACTGTTACCTTCCACTACCACCACTGCCACTGCCACCACTGTTACTACCACTACCACCACTGTCACCCCACTAGCACCACTGCCACTACCACCACTGTTACTACCACTACCACCACTGTTACTACCACTACCACCACTGTTACTACCCACTACCACCACTGTCACCCCACTAGCACCACCTGCCACTGCCACTACCACCACTGTTACCACCACTACCACCACTGTCACTCACCAGCACCACTGCCACTACCACCACTGTTACTACCACCACCACCACTGTTACTACCACCACTGTTACTACCACTACCACCACATGTCATTCCACTAGCACCACTGCCACTACCACCACTGTTACTACCACTACCACCACTGTTACTACCACTACCACCACCAATTCCACCAGCACCACTCCCACCACCACCACTGTTACCACCACTACCACCACTGTTACCACCACTCCACCACCACTGTTACCACCACCACCACCACTGTCATCCCACCAGCACCACTGCCACCACCACCACTGTTACTACCACTACCACCACTGTCACTCCCACTAGCACCACTGCCACTACCACCACTGTTACTACCACTACCACCACTGTTACTACCACTACCACCACTGTTACTACCACTACCACCACTGTCATTCCACCAGCACCACTGCCACTGCCACCACTGTTACTACCACCACTGTCACTCCCCACTAGCACCACTGCCACTGCCACCACTGTTACTACCACCATCATCGCTCCACTAGCACCACTGCCACTACCACCTGTTACTACCACTGCCACCACTGTTACTACCACTACCACCACTGTTACTACCACTACCACCACTGTCATTCCACTAGCACCACTGCCACTACCACCACTGTTACTACCACTCACCACCACTGCCACTGCCATCACCACCACTGTTACTACCACTACCACCACTGTCACTCCACCACCACCACCTGCCACTACCACCACTGTTACTACCACTACCACCCACTGTCCCCCATTAGCACCACTGTCACTCCACCAGCACCACCACCACCACTACCACTACCACCACTGTCATCCCACTAGCACCACTGCCACTACCTACCACTACCACTACCACCACTGCTCACTCACCACTCACCTCACCACCCACCAGCACCACCACCACTACCACCACTACCACTACCACCACTGTTACTACCACTACCACCACCTCTCGCCGGAGGACAACACCCGCCACCACAGATAAAACATGACGTAATATCCCAAAATCGGTGATAACTAAGCGAACTCTACCGGTCTGACGTCATAAACAAGTATCTAACGTCATCGTTTAACAAGTAACGACAAGTCTTACGTCACCGTTGAACAAGTCTCCTGACGTCATAGGTCGGTCGGTACCCAATCACATTCACTCCACCACTATGATGTCATTGACCAAGAGTCACACACACACGCACATTTACCTGGCCTTTAATTCATACTACCGCCAGAAGGTGGCCATGGTGTCTATGACGTCATCAGTGACCTGAAACTCGGGTAGAAACGAGTTTATTCCGGAATTTTCCTGCAGAGGCTCACCCGTTTCCTCTGTGTGTGTGTGTACTGGAACTTGCACACACAACTAGTACCACCACTATAACTATTACTACTGTAGCATCATTTATCCATAAATAATCCAACACGTGTTATTTCATCATACTTCCTTCGTCATGTCTGCAATTAAATTATTTTTTTTAATTTTGGTTTATGGTGCAGTGTTGTGTTACGGTCACTGCTGCCACCACGGGCACCACCACCACGGGCCCCGCCAGCACCACGGGCCCCACCACCACGGACACGGCCAACAACCACGTACAGAAGACACAGTTTTGGTGGTACAAAGAGATTTCACCGTTGGCCGTCCCTGATGTACCTCTCGTTATAAGCTCTGAGTACGACCACAACAGCAAGACGGACATCGCGCGAGGTGTAAACATGTTGCACGAGAGTACGTGTGTGAGGTTCGTGCTCCACGAGACTGGAGACAAGCTCACGTGCTGGTGAGGAACGGTAAGGTTGTAACGCCGTACCTGGTACAACAGCAGGCCAGGGTTCGTGTCCGTGGTCAACCTACACGTGCCACAGTGCACCACCGCGGTGGGGCACGTGGTGCACGAGTTGATGCACGTGTTGGGGTTCTACCACGAACATCAGCGTCTGGACCGTGATGAACACATAAGTGTCCAGTACGCTAACATAGCGGAGGGTCACGAACTCAACTTCCGTAAAGTGTTTAACGAGACCTGGGGCTGCCCTACGACATTGGCTCCGTCATGCACTATGGCCCCTACGGGTTCTGTAAAGACTGCACCAGGAGGACCATAGTGGCCATGCCTGGGGAGTCCTCCTCCTCACACATGGGCCAGAGGCTTAACCTCAGTGTTATTGACGTGGCCAAGGTCAATCGTCTGTACCAGTGTACCGAACATTACCTGGGAGACGACCTGCCCAGCGCCCAGCGCTACCAAGACTGGTCCTACTACTAGGAACATAAGAACGAGCGGGCCTATTGGCCCATACTGCCAGTCCCATTTACACCCAACCCTATTGCTCATATATCCATCCAACCTATGTTTGAAGCTATCCACACCACCCACCCTGAAACCCACGCTACCTCATTAATTTTGTTTGGGCACAACAACCTTAACTTTACCCTTAACGTAACCTAACTTAACCTTAACTTATTATTATTAGACCTTGTCCACGCTTGTTTGTACGAGTAAAGCAGCTTACTGTACTGTACTGTACAGTACAGTACAGTGTGCATACAGTACAGTACAGTACTGTACTGTATACACACACGCCCCACACCCCGGCGGCGGACACGTCAAGGGCGAATGAACGAACAGTTGAGGAAACTGTAGGACGAACAGTGAGAAGAACCAGCGGCGGAAACATGAAGAGAAGAAGAAAAATGCTGGGGTAAAGGAACTCCACTCAACAGACAACCTTCAGAATAACTCTCCGGGTTCGACTCTCCGCCAGTCAACACCGCC